GGGTTTAGGGTTTAGGGTTTAGGGTTTAGGGTTTAGGGTTTAGGGTTTAGGGTTTAGGGTTTAGGATTTTGGGTTTTGGGTTTTGGGTTTAGGGTTCAGGGCTTAAGGTTTAGGGTACTTCACTTGCAGGGCTTTCCAAGTTTCTGGCTGTTGGAGCACCGGAGATGTCTATTTCTAAAAGCCCTAAACCCTGCACCAAGGGTTTGCTCTAAACCCCTAGAGCCATGCCTTGCGCAGACTTTGCAGGCTGTTCCAAAACCAGTATCCTTCAAACCCGAAACCTTAAACCCTGAACCCTAAACCCTAGCTAAAGCCTAGCCCGAAACCCTACAAACCCGAAGCCCTAAGCCCTGGAATTACGACCCGCTGAACCACATCCTTCAGGCCCGGAACCTTAAACCCTAAACCCTAAACCCTAAACCCTAAACCCTAAACCCTAAACCCTAAACCCTAAACCCTAAACCCTAAACCCTAAACCCTAAACCCTAAACCCTACCTAAACCCTAAACCCTAAACCCTAAACCCTAAACCCTAAACCCTAAACCCTAAACCCTAAGCCCTGGAATTAAGACCCTTTGAACAGGAGGTGCCCTGCGCCCCGCTTCCGCAGTGACTTGGGCTCGCTGTTCTTCATTGGGGAGATCCGGGGCCTTAGGTTTTTTGCTGTGGGTCTTAAGGTCTAGGGTTTAGGGTTTAGGGTTTAGGGTTTAGGGTTTAGGGTTTAGGGTTTAGGGTTTAGGGTTTAGGGTTTAGGATCTTCCTGTGGGTCTTAAGGCCGATCACGGGGTTCTACCTTGGACCCTCAGGGTTTTGGGGTCCCCTTTTTTAAGGATGCCAGGATATTTTTAAGCGCCATAGTGGGAGTATAGTAAGGGGAACCTTTAGAGGTACAGCCTTAGGGGTACGAGTCTTCATCCCTTGAGGTTTAGGGTTTAGGCGTTGGAGTTTGGGACTCCAACCTGCTGGGGCTGATGGGGGATTCGGGAACTCTAAACTCCCGCGATCCCCTGAAGGTATCTACGAGGCACCTGGTTCCCTGAATATTACCTTGTCAGTTGAGGGCTCTGAGGGTTGTAGGATGTGAAGGTTGCAGGCTTTGGTGTGGCCATTACGGTGTCTTGGGCCTTATGGTCTAAGGGTAGTGACATGGCCCCTTAGCTTCTCTAAAGGGTTCTGAAGTAGTGGGCCCTAGGCTTTGCAGGGTATAGGAGGGGCACATAAGGGGCCCCCTTCAAAGAGCCCGTACCCTGAATGTGGTCCCCTTGACTTCCTTAAAGGGTTCTGAAGTATCGAGGGGTCAGCTTTTAAAAGGGCCCATGTGAAGGGACCATCTGCCTTAATGCCCTAACCCTCAGCCCTGAACCCTAAACCCGAAACCCTGAACCCTAAAACCCTAAACCCTCAATGAAGGAACCACGTAACTTCTAAGAATTTTGGGTTTGAGGTGTTTCCTTGAGGAGTCCTCTACAGCCCAAAGCCCAAAAGCAACTCAATGCAGGGTTGAGGGTTTAGGGTTTAGGGGTCGAAGAAATTTAAGGGGTTTTAGGTTGATACGGTTTGTGGCTTAGGGTTCCATGCGTTGGGTTGAAGGTTGAGGGTCTAAGGGGTTTGAGGGTAGTTAGGGTTGATGTGGTTTGTGGGTTTAGGGTTTAAGGGTTTCAGGGTTTAAGGGCTTTTAGGGTCAGAGGGAATACCCACAGGGTCAGAGATTTGGGTTCGGGGTTCAGGGCTTGGGGTTGATACTAGGATGTCTAGTAGTGCGCTTATTCGATTGTTTTGTGGGGGGTTTAGGCTCCCTTATAGACACTTTTGTAGCAAAAAAGGGGCACCCTGTTTAACGCCAGCTTACTGGGCAATTGATATGGTTTGGGGTTTAGGGAGCAGAAGTTGTTCAACTCCCCCCAAAACCCCAGAATTTTGTGTCTTCGGCAGGCTGAGCCTCGCAGCTCTAGGGCCAGGGGCCCTACCCCCTAACGCCCAAAACCCTAAACCCAATCCCTAAAGCCCTAAAATCCTAAAGCCCGAAAACCCGAAAACCCGAAAACCCTACAGCCCTAAAACCTTACAACCCGAAAACCCTAAACCCGAACCCGGAACCCCTGACTCTCGAACCATGAAGTCCCGTCAAAGGCAAGCCGCCTGTGGCTTCGACGTCTCGGATTGTCAGAGTGTGCAGCCAGGCAGGTCATGGGGCTTAGGGTTTCGGGGTTGGGGGGTTTAGGGTTTAGGGTTTAGGGTTTTGGGGTTTTAGGGTTTTGGGTTTTGGGGGTTTTGGGTTTAGGGTTGTGGGGGTTTTGGGGTTTTTGGGTTTAGGGTTAGGGTTTTTGGTTTTAGGGGTTTAGGGTTTAGTGTTTTGGGTTGTGGGGTTTTCGGGGTTTAAGGTTTAGGGATCACAGATTAGGGACCCCTTTCGTATGGTGTCCAGGATTTAGGGCTTCTGGCGCTCTTGAAAGCACTTGCTACTTTGGAGGCGTAGATTTTTTCTAGTGCAGAAGAAGTCAACCAGAAGAACCCTAATAGAAACCCCCAAACCCCAAATCCTGAGACCAATAAGTTCCTCATGTTTGGGGAGGTGCCAGTCTCCTGAGTTGGGTGCACTTGGCATGCTCCACCCCCCGCCCCCCCCCCCCTCCCCTGGTGCACTGGAAGGGCGGCCCTTACAGGCACAAACCTGTCCTTCATTGAAGGACAGGTTTGTGCAACATGGGCATTGTTTGCCGAAGTTGTGGGGAATGACAAGTCTGGCGCAAACCTGTTCACAATGCCAAGTCGGGCCAAAGTGTCGGCGCAAGCTGGAGCCTGCTTGCTCCAGGCCAGCAAGGAAGCACAACTGCTTGAAGATGTTCATCCGAAGCGTGATGTTTTTTTTTTTTTACTTTTTGCGTCCGGTGTGGTGTCGACACCAGGAGATCAAGGCTGCCTGCAATTGCTCGATGCCACATCTTTTGGAGGATGGCAGCCACGCCTACAGACATGTCGTCGGGTGGCCCCAGATCGCTACGCCTAGCCGCAGATGTGTTCTTTGAACGTTTTTCACATCCTGTGGAAGAACAGCCGTTCATGCAATGTCTCCTCTCAAGTTCTGAGATGTCCGAATTTTTCGGTAGCTCGCAAGCCATAAGCTTCATCTGCGGTGTCATCGTCGGTGCCACCCTATTGTCACCTCGAGCTTCAAGTTGTCCTCCTTGCTCAGTGTCTTGTGGGTCACTTAGCTGCCCAGCTGTGACGTGCTCGACGGGGCACATTGAAATAGGTCCCATCGCTGGAACTGTTATCTTGACTGCTCTTGCTGGACTCAGCGGGATCTTTTGGTGGCGAAAGCGTGGGCCTATTCAAGCAGGAGAGAGCATAAGCTTCAGGCCACTTGATGGCAAGCGGGGGGGCCTTGGGAGCAGCACCTCGTGGCGGCCTCTCGAAGGGTGACTTCATCATCGTGCAGTACCACGTCCCAGAAGACCTATGGCATGTTCGGTTGCTTCTTGCGGCTGTATCGGAAACTCTATGGGTGATTGTGACACCCCAGGCGGACCTCTACATAGAGGACATTGGGGTCAACAGCCAAGAGATCTCCGCGTGGCGCGCTTTCGATCCAACTGGCCCATTGCCGTACGGGGTGGCTCCCGGGACTGTGCATGGATTCAGGCAGCTCCCCGATGCTGCGGCGAAACAGCGTCTCTTCGACGAAGGAGAAAGACACGCGCAGGTAGAGAGGGCTCGACGGGGGTTGGCTCCAGTCCCCATTGTTGCTCAGGCAGCAGCTGGGGCTGTAGGCCCTGCTGGTGTCGGGAACCCGGCAGTGCCCAATCTTGCCGGTGGTGCCGGAGGTCGGCGACGTTGCAGCAGCTGGATATGTTGACAACTACGGAGTCTTTGGAACGTGAACCAAGGTCTTCGGCGTATCAGCGACGTGCTGAGAGGCTGGGGTCTTACCGTTCACGAGCTGGAGGAGGCGAAACACTCTGGGGATTTTGTTGGTCTGCATTTCAACGGGCTCGGGGGATTCGTGTCAATTAAGCCTAGCAGGATCCATAAGATCAAGTCTGCTATTGATGACCTCCTCCACAGGCAGTTTTGCAGCGGGCGAGTGCTCCAGACTATTTTGGGTCACCTTACTTGGGCTAGCATGGGAAGACGAGAGTCCCTCGCCATATTGAACTCTTGTTATGCCTTTGTCCATCAGAAGGGTGAGCACTCTGGCCGGCTCTGGCCCAGTGTGCGCAAAGAGTTGGAGTGGTTCAGCGCTGTACTGCCTTTGCTGCGGATGAAGATTAACTGCGGCTGGAGTCAAGACATTACAGCTAGTGATTCTTCGCCTTGGGGTTTGGGTGTCTGCCTGAGAACCTTAGAGAAACAGGAGGTTCAGTCATTGGGTGGGTGCAGTGAACGTTGGCGATTTAGATTTGAGGATGCACTGCGAGCAAGGGACCACGCGCTGAATCAGGATGACGGTGAGGCGTTCAAGCCTGGTGAGTCAGGAATCGGATCAATCCGTGACTGCTCACTTGGCATTTCGAGTTTCATTCGTGATCTTGGTTTTGACGAGGTGCCTAAGAAGGTATTGCAAAAAGATGCCTGGACAGTTGTGTGGTCTCGTCCGTGGAAGTTCGAAGCCAACATCCTCCACACTGAAGCCCGCGCACTTGTATGGTCCGCTGAGCATCTCCTCAGGTCAAATAGGAACCTTTGCAAAAGGCTGGTTTGTCTCAGTGATAACCTTCCTTTGGTCCTTAGCGCTACAAAGGGGCGTGGCAAATCGAAGTATCTCATTGGCCCTCTTCGGAGGTTGGCCGCTTTGGGGTTGGCGTGCGGTTCCAAAGTCCATGTTCGTTGGGTTCCTTCCGAACTTAACGTTGCTGATGCTCCATCTCGTGCCATTCGACAGTGGGAATCTTTAAGACATGCCAAGTGGTGGTCGCTCGACGACGTCGTCAGCAAAGAGCCTTTCGCGTACTTTGGGGCGGAGGAAATCAGCGCAGAGCAAGACTGCAGTTCCGGAAGGGCTCACTTACCTCGAGTCGCGAAGCGTTCGCGCTCCAACGCTGGCCGACTACCAGAACCGCCTGAAGCAGTTCGAGATTTGGCTGGGGGTAGTGGCGTGCGCAGTCTTAGACCTTGCTCTGCTGGACATGGCGATGGTGGAGTATGTGAACGAGCTGTTCGATCTGGGGAAGGGAGTCGACTCCGGGGTCAGGGCTCTCGCCGCCTTGAAATTTTTCCACCCGCTGCTGGGCCGCAACACAGGCCACTTGATGCCAAGAACAGCAAGGGCGTTGAAGGGATGGTCGCTTGCGGCCCCATCGAGGCAGCGGCTCCCAATCCCTCTCGAGGGTCTTGGATGCATCATGGGCATCCTGATCGCAGCAGGTTTGGTGGAGATGGCCTTGAGGCTCTTCATTCAGTTCAGCTGCTACCTGAGACCAGGAGAATGCTCAAATCTTCTTTGCAAGCAGCTCGTGGCTCCCCAAGCGACTGCACTGGCCGGGCAAGCTTTCAGGTACTGGGCCATTCTTCTGCACCCAATAGAGGATGGAGTCCCGGGGAAGACCAACATGTTCGACGCGACAGTTCTGTTGGACTCGGACGCCTGGATGGATCCTCTTTTGCGCGGACTGCTCTCAAAGAAGTCGCCGGACGATCCACTGTGGGCTCATTCTCACAACCAGGTGAGCAGCAGTTTCCAGGATGCCATCACAAAGCTTGGGCTCGAGCATATGGGGTGGCAACTTTACAATCTCAGGCATGGAGGGGCGACCCACGACGTCCTCTCACGAAGACGAAGTCTCATGGAGGTGAAGCAGAGGGGCCGCTGGCTTGCGGACAACTCGGTGAAGCGCTATGTGAAGCAAGCCAGGATGCAGTCCGAGCTTGCCCGCATCCCCACGCACATCAGGGAGTACGGGGCTGGCATCATCAGGCAACTCCCCGAGCTCCTCCTGCAAGGGCTTCTGTCTCCGAGAGTGCCGCCTGGAATCACACCATCACCAAGCGGCTCAAGCAGCAAGCGCAAGCTCGCGCGAAGCACCCCAAAAGGGTTAGCGGAGAGATTGCTCTAAAAAGAGCTTTTCGAACCGCCATGAAAAACAACAGTGAGGGTCAGAGACGAGTTTTTCTGGACCTGTTTTCCGGTCTTGGAGGCATTGCTCGAGCTCTTAAAAACAAGGGCCTCGGGTGTGTGTCCATTGACACTTGCGTTGATCCCCGGTTTGACGTTTGTGGTCCTGCCATCTCAAACCTCATTAAGGGATGGATCAAAAGCAGATGCGTGCGAGGCATCTGGATTGCTACTCCTTGTCCTTCTTGGAGTCACGCCAGGCATGGACCCATTGGATCGTCGTGGGGCCCCCTTAGAGATAGTCATCATCTTTTCGGGTTTTCTGGGCTGTCGTTTAATGACCGTCGCAAGATCCACTTGGGAAATGCTACCATGAGATTTTCTTGTGAGATCATCAAGCTCGCTGTGGCAGTCGGCGTTCCTTGTTTTATTGAAAACCCTGCCAGATCAATGATTTGGCAGGTTCCCACCTTAAAATCCTTGTGTGCCATGGGTTGCTCGAGGTCCTTCATTACTGATTTCTGTCAGCACGGGGCCCGTTGGCGCAAGCGCACCCGCGTACAAGGTTGGTACGTTCAACCTGACAATGCTCTTTGCTGCAAATGCAGCGGCCGGGGAGGAATTTGCTCCCGCAACGGCAAGTATCACATTATCTTGAAAGGACAGGATCCTCGCTCCGGTCAGCTGTGGACTCATCTTGCGCAGTCTTATCCTAGGATGTTTGCTTGTGCTGCTGCCGAGTCCTTGTTGCAGTCCGCCGAAGCTTTTGAAAGCTTTTGCTTGCGAGCTAGGTTCGGGAATTGATTTCGCCGTTCCGCCAGTTGTCCATTTCGACCATGCTAGATGGGCTTGAGAGCGAGGGGCCAGCCGGCACTCATCAAAGGTCTGTGCCGTGACGGTGCTCTTTCTCGTGTGCAAACGCTCAGGGCAGCCTGCCTCGCCGCTCTCAGACAAAAACAAGCCCCTGCTTTTGTCCGGACGCTGGCTGTGGATGCACAGTTGTGATATGTGTTCTTTGAACGTTTTTCACATCCTGTGGAAGAACAGCCGTTCATGCAATGTCTCCTCTCAAGTTCTCCCGCCCACCCTCCCTTTTCCTTCAAAGGGGCTTGAGAGCGAGGGGCCAGCCGGCACTCATCAAAGGTCTGTGCCGTGACTGTGCTCTTTCTCGTGTGCAAACGCTCAGGGCAGCCTGCCTCGCCGCTCTCAGACAAAAACAAGCCCTTGCTTTTGTCCGGACGCTGGCTGTGGATGCACAGTTGTGAGAGCTATGCCCAGCTACGCCCTAACTGAGTGGAAAGAATAACTAACAGTATCCCCTTATTGCCCCCTTGTAATTCTGCTACAAAAACCCCCGAAAACCCTGGCCCAGTTCGAATTATTTAGGCCCCTATATTGCCCCAAAAACACCCCCAACGTTTCGAAAGGATAGTAACCAGGCCTTTCGACGTGTCGACGAGGGCCTTATGCCGGCCTGATGTCTTTCCAAGAAAGATTCGGTGGCGGCTCTGAGCCGCTTCGGGGCGGAGACAAACAGCCGTTCTTGATTCCTGGCAGCTTTGGGTTCACGGTTCGGGGTTTAGGGAGCAGGTTTTCACTGGTCTCGCTTTGTGTTGTTTTTTAGGCCAGGTTCCCCAGCAGGCGCTCTTACAAAAAGCGGGCTTGCTTTTCAGTTTATCGCCCTAAACCGTAAACCTGAAACCCTAAACCTAAACCCGAAACCCGAAACCCTAAACCCTAAACCCTAAACCCTAAACCCTAAACCCTGAACCCTGAACCCTGAACCCTGAACCCTGAACCCTGAACCCTGAACCTGGAACCCTGAATCCTGAGTCCGCCTTTTTGCGCAGGCGGCTCCTGCGAGGTGCGCTGCAAGGCACCCTTCTTCGTAGGCCCGCCCTCGCGTGCCTACTGCCAGGACAGTCACGGGGCCTTCTATGTCGGGTTGTCGGGGTTTAGGGGTTTAGGTTTAGGGTTTAGGGGTTTAGGGGTTTAGGGGTTTAGGGATTTAGGGGTTTAGGGGTTTAGGGGTTTAGGGGTTTAGGGGTTTAGGGGTTTAGGGGTTTAGGGGTTTAGGGTTTAGGGGTTTCGGGGTTTGGGGGTTTAGGGGTTTAGGGGTTTAGGGGTTTAGGGGTTTAGGGGTTTAGGGGTTTAGGGTTTGGGGCGTTTCGCCGCGCAGCGGCTTTAAGTACCATGCGGAGGTAGCACCCCACACACCCAGGCGTGTGGGCCCGAGGGGGGGGGGTTTGACAAGCGAAGGCATACATTTTCAGTGCACTCCAGCAAGTTTCGTTGGTGCTAGGTTTCTTTCTCCCACCCAAGCCATTGCCTTTGAGGGTTTTGGGCTCCCGCCCTCAACTCCCACCACGAAAGACGGTTCAAGCCTTCAATGTTAGGGCGCAGAGACGGGGCCCTGGGCCCAAGGAGCGGGTTCGAAGAAGTCAGAAGATGAGGGGAGCAGGGGCGAGACGGATGTGCGGGGACAGAGGGGGCCCAAGCGACCCCCTGAAAAAACTTTTTTGGAGTCCCCGGCACGTTGACTAAAATTTGACATCTGGGGTTGCCCGCCCCTTCCAAAACCAAGAATCCCTATGCTAAGCCTTGTCTAAGCACCCTAGAAAAGGCTGGGGACGGCCGAAGAAGGCCATTGGGAGTTTGTGACTTAGTGTTCAGGGTTCAGGGTCTAGGCCTAGCGTTTAAGGTTCCGATGATTTCGAGGACCCTGAAGCTTTCTTTTGGAGTTTAGGATGCAGGGTTTAGCACCCCAAGCACCCAAGCGCTGCTCTCACATTTGGAGGTTCATGACCATTTCCTCATCAGCATCCCAAATTCGGTTATAACCAGCTAGAACTGCAGTCGCTACCCACGAGCCTCCGAGCACAGCAATAGAACCTTTGTAGGGAAAGCTAGGGAGTAGGGAGTAGTAGAGCCCTACTGATGAGGCTTCAAGGAAACAACTGCTATAATGCAGGGTCAGGTAACCTGTAAGGAGCCGACAAAATACGGTCCCTCCTATTAGTCAGATTCACAACTCGGTCGGCCCTTGTCGGACATTTTTACATATATGTTCCCTTAATGGGCTTAGGCAGGGTCATGTTCAGGAATCTTTTTCAGAAGGTTTTCAGGGCCATACTAGTCCAATCCTGAACTGCCGTGGAGTAAATCTTGAAGCTCCTCTGACATGAATGCCAGGTTTAGGGTTTAGAGTTTAGTGTTTAGGGTTTAGGGTTTAGGGGACAGGACTTCAACACGGACCCAGACCGCATGCGGCTGGGCCTTGAAATCGACGTGGTCCGCTTTTGGGGGGCTTACTTGGGCCCTGCAGTACCTACCATTGTTCTTTTTTCTTTTTTTTTTTTTTTTTTGGGGGGGGGGGGGGTTCCCTTAACCCTAAACCCGAAAAATGGGACTTGTTCGCTTAGTTGGGCTTGACAGGTTCAAGGTTGAGGGCTGCGTTGCTTTCATCGTCGAATCTTCTGCATACGAGTAGCAACATAGCGATTCGAATTAGGATACTGGAGGTTTAAGCAAAGGCCTATACAGGGGATGTCCCAAGCCCCGAACGCAAAACCCTAAACCCGCAGCCCACTAGGCCGGGTGGACAACCTAGTCCGGGCCCACATTATCACACGCCCTGTTTGGGTACCGGAGGAATTCTGAGAAGGGACCCTAAATGCAGGGCTACGGTTTCCATGGGATGACAACGCTTGGGTTCCCTCGCGTTATTTGGGGGTTTACGATAGCAAGGGGCCCTAATATCGAGCCCTATCGTAAACCCCCATTTGATGTTCAGGCCAAGCCGCCATCGTTCCCCTGTAGCCTCGTGAAGCGCTTTGACATGGACAGTCCGGCTGCACGATCAGTTCACAGGTAACTTAGGCTTAGGGTTTGAAGGGTAAACCCTAAACACAAAACCCTAAACCCTGAACACAAACCCTGAACCCTGAACCAAAAACCCTAAACCGCAAACCCTAAACCCTGAATCCGAAACCCTAAACCCCAAACCCTAACTCTAAACCCTAAACCCTAGACCCTAAACCCCAAAATCCAAAGGGGCTTCGGTCTCAGCTTCCCCCCAAGCCTTTCGGCGCTACCCAGGCCGTCATGGAGCGGGCAGCAGTGCCAGATGACGTGCCCACCAGCCGAATCGAGGCACTTTTCTAGTGTTTAGGGTTTAGGCTTTAGGCTTTAGGGTTTAGGGCAGTAGGGTTTCAGGCCTCCGAACCTAACCCTAAACCCTAAACCCTAAACCCTAGACCCTAAACCCTAAACCCTAAACCCTAAACCCTAAACCCTAAACCCTACACCCTAAACCCTAAACCCTCTTCCCTTGGCCTTCGAGTCGCCAGGCCCGGCTACACCTGGAATGGCACCGCGTGGGAGTGCGCCGCCGGCTGGACGGGACAGGCGCCCTGAAGCCCCCCAAACCCAAAGCCCCAAGTCCGAAAAGTTGAGGGCTTGGGGCTTTGGCAAGCCCTTAGCTCTAAACCCTAAACCCTAAGCCCGAAACCCTAAACCCTAAGCCCTAAACCCTAAACCCTAAACCCTAAACCCTAAACCCTGAACCCTGAACCCTGAACCCTGAACCCTGAACCCTGAACCCTGAACACTAAGCCCTAAACCCGAAACCCTACCCAGGGTTCAAACCCAAACCCTAAGGGTTGAGAGTGTTTTGTGTCAGGACAAAGCCCTGAGTCCTCTGTGTTCGGTCACCGGGGCTCTTGCTTGTTCTGGGTTTAAGGTTTAGGATTTAAGGATGTCTAGTGTTTAGGGTTTAGGTTAGGGTTAAGGGTTTTGGCTGGGCACAGGGGCAGTTGGACACTAAACCCTCAACCGAAGCCCCTAGTTGAAAGGTTTAAACGCGCTCGTCAGCTCAAAGGATCCAAAAGTTGATTTGCTTGAGCCTCTGTGAAACGTTGGGGGGGGGGGGGGGGGGGGGGGTGGGGGGCACCAGGACCCAAACAGGAGCTGAAGCCAGCTGAAGGGGGCAGCCCCATCAATGGAACAGGCCAAGTCAGGAAGGGGGGGGGGGGGGGCGGGGGGGGAAGGGGGGGGGGGGGGGGAAGGGGGGGGGGGGAGGGAAGGGGGGGGGGGGGGAAGGGGGGGGGTTGTGGGGTTTTTTTCCCGAAGCCGTGGGTTTATGCGGTGTGGCAGCCCTGGAAAAGCTGCCGGGTACACCCCCCTAACACGCCGCCAGCCCCAAACCCTCAACCCTAACCCCGAAACCCTAAACCTGTCGCTTCCCAGATGCTGGCACCAAGGAGTGACATATGGAGGTTTACGAAAACAAAAGACCCCTAATTTAGGTCCCCAAATAGTAGGATTCCTTAGAATAAGGACCCCGATAAGGTACCCCTATATAATTTAGGGATCCTCAATATCAAGTCGGTGTGTGGTATGGGATTTAGGGATTTAGGGTTTTGGGGATTTTGGGGCTTTAGGGGCTTCGGGATTTAGGGTATAGCTCAACCCTAAACCCTCAACCTAAGCCCTATACCTTAAATCCGAACCCCTAAGCCCTAAACCCTAAACCCGCCCGCCACCTCTGTTGGGTAGGCGGGCGCAGTCGAGCGCGCAGCGAGACCATGGCAGGCTCTGTTGAGCTGCAGAGCCTGCCCACCACACCCTTGAGGGGTCGCCAAGCTTGGTCGCCAAGCACAGTCACTGCCGATGCATAGTTACCCCAAAACCTGGCAGGGTGTGTGTTCATCTGGTTCCTCTCCCGAGTGCGGCCTTCTTGCTGGGGCGTTTAGGCAGTTCAGCCGAGTCCGCGCAGGGTCTGAGGCTGCTGCCAGGGAGGCCCCTGAAGCCTGTGGCAGGCCCTGCGACGCCCTAACAGTCTCTGCTGCGCCAAAAAAACTTTTGGAGGTGACCTGGACAACCCTAAGCCGTAAACCCAAACCCGAAACCCTAAACTCTAAACCGACACCCTAAACCCTGAAGGTGGTGTTGGGTTTCGGCTCCCGGCTCTCTTGCTCAGGTGCGCGTCGTGTGCAGCATGGAAAACTGCGACGTGAGCCCCAGCACGCTGACTGGCTGCGCCAGGGCCTCGTCACCCGAAACCCGAAACCCTAAACCCCAAACCCCAAACCCAAACCCTAAACCCTAAACCCTTTAAACTCCTAAACCCTACACCCAAAATCCTGTTAAGAGGGAAGCAGTCCCAGGGTTGAGGGTTTTGGATTTTGGGTCACAGCAGCTCCCGAAGCCTGTTGGGGCTTTACGGTTTGGGTTTCGGGCCCCAGAGGCTTCAAGCCAATACGTCCTCCAGTTCAGAACGTTCTTCGGCTGATGACAAGAAAAAGCTCCTCGCACAATGCCTTATAGTTTTCATCTTCGGGTTTCTCTAGCCTTAAGCCTGAAACCCTAAGGGCCCATGATCAAGTTTGGGGTGTAGGGTTTAGTGTTTAGGGTGAGGGCACGCCAGGCAGATGGTGGGTATGAGGGGGGTTCTCGATCTATCTTTGGCTGCCCTAATATTGGGCTTTCGGAGAAGCCCCCCTCCCCTACACATACTACCAGTAGGAGTGTAAGGGCCCTGGTGCTTGCACTAAACCCAAAAAAGGCCGCTATGTCCGCTTTGAGCTAGGAGTATGTGGCGGGTCGCACAGCCGTTCTCACAAAACAAGTGTTGTCGGAAAGAACGAGCCATCACAGCCCCGTCCGGAAGTCAGCATGTTCGCATGGACTGTTGGAATGCATCCTCGGCCTCTCATCTCCAGAAGAGAAACCCTGAACCCTGGACCCTCATCCCAAAGGCAGGTTGGCGAACTAGAATTGGAGTCATGGGACCCCGAAGAACCCTGACGCCTGAACCCAAAACCCTAAATCATAAACCCTAAGCCCCCTACAATTCCCACTTCGCAACCCCCGAGTCTTGAACGAACCTCCGAGCCTTGGGTCTGGGGTTTCGGGTTCGGCCCTCAGGTGGGTCCTTTGCGTACGACGAAGAAGACGCCCCAAAAGGGGAGAAACCCTAGCCCTAAACCCTAAACCCTAAGCCCGAAAACAAAAAAACCCTAAACCCTAAACCCTAAACCGTAAGCCCGAAACCCTCAACCCTAAACCCTAAGCCCTAAGCCCTAGACCCTAAACCCTAAAACCTAAACCCTGAACCCTAAGCCCTAAGCCCTAAACCCCAAACCCTAAACCCTAAACCCCAAACCCTAAACCCTAAACCCTAAACCCCAAACCCTAAACCCTAAACCCTAAACCCCAAAGGAGGGAACCCCAAGACCCAACTGCAGGTGCAGCTGCAGTCCTGCACGATTCCGGAAGCGGATGAGTCCCGCCGGCCCGCTTCCTCTCTGGTGCGTACAAGGGTTTAGGGTTTAGGTTTTTTGGGTTTTTTGGGTTTTTTTGTTTTTTTTTGGGTTTTTTGGGTGTTTTTTTGTTTTTTGTGTTTTTGGGTTTTTTGGGTTTTTTGGGTTTTTTTTGTTTTTTTTTTGGGTTTTTTTTTGGGTTTTTTGTGTTTTTGTTTTTTTTTTGGGTTTTTTGGTTTTTTGGGTTTTTTTTTTTTTTTTTTTTTTTTTTTTTTTTTTTTTTTTTTTTTTTTTTTTTTTGTTTTTTTTTTTTTGGTTTAGGGTTTAGGGTTTTTTGGGGTGTAGGGTTTAGGGTTGAGGGTCTAGGGTTTAGGGGTTTAGCGGTAGTTTCTTCTTAGGGTCCATTTTTTCAACAGTTACTAATAACCCGATGGTTCGAGCCACTGCGGCCTCCCCCCCCCCCCCCCCCCAACAACCACCTCCCCCACCCCCCTCCCCCCTATCCCCCACTCCCCCCCCCCCCCCCCCCCCCCTCCCTCACCCCTCCCTTCCCCCCCCACCCCCCCCCCTGCCCCCCCCCTCCCCCCTTCCCCCCCTCCCCCCCCCCCTTCCCCCTCCCCCCTCCCCACCCCCTCCCACCCCCGCTTTGTTCAAGGCCCCCTCTCTCTTGTTCAAGGGCCCCCCTCCCCGCCCCCCCCCCCCCCCTCTTGTTCAAGTGGGCCCCCCCCCCCCCCCCTTGGTCAATTCCCCCTTCTATCAATTTTAATAAGGTTTCGATTTACTTTAATAGAAATTAACAAATACAAAATGTGGAATTTTATTTAATAGGGAGCAAGGGCTTCTGGCTTCTATTAGTGGGCATTTTTATTTCTTTTAATAAGAAGTATTCTTAATAGGGTTTCACTTGACTTTAATTAAAGTTTTAATAGGGCTTCTTTTGATTCTAATCGGGTTAGAGTGTTTGTTACTTTTGAAAGATTTCTAATAATATGAATGAGGTTTTTATTCCTTCTAATAAGATTTGTATTACGTTTAACGGGATTCGTATTAAAATAATAGAAATCCTTTTCGAATCAAGTTCAACTCCTAGTACAATTAATTGAGCTGCTATTAAAATGAGTAGAAGTCCGACTTGACAAAATATTTCCAACCCCATTAAAATTGAATTGAAATGCTACGAAAAAAGAAGGCGAATAGAAATCTTGTTAAATTAATAGAAATCCTCTTGAAATTAAAAGGATTCTGATGAAAAACAATAGGAATCCTGCCAAAAATGGCAAAGGAAATGTGGAATTTAGCATGGGTGGGGGTCTAATGATTCAGGCCCTTATATTGTTTCACCCTCAACTCTAGGATCTTTGGTTTTTTCGAAGCCCCTAAACCTCCCCTTCAGCTGAGCTTTCGTTTTCCCTGAACCCTAAACACTACACACGAAGCTAAACTTAAAACCCTAAACTCTACCCCCTAGACCCCAAATTCCAAACTGAGCTCAAAACCCCAAACCCCAAACCCCAAACTTCAAACCCCAAACCCCTGAATCTCGCGAAGCCTGCGAGCCCCTTCCGCCAGCCGCCGAACGACACCTTGGGGTTGAAGGGTTTGGGGCTTAGGGTTTTGGAGTTTCGGAATTTAGGGTTTGGGGTTTAGGGCTTGGAGAGAAGGGTTGAGGGTTTAGGGGTAAGGTTCAGGTTCAGAGGTTTCGGGCCGGTATCTCGGGATTGCTTGGGTTTGGGTGACTGCGATCCTTGCAGTCATGCTGAGCGGGACGGAAAACTAAGCCCTAAACCCTAAACCCGAAACCCTAAACCGTATGCCCTAAGCCCTAAACCCTAAACCCTAATGTTAACGTCGCTTTAATAACCCCCCCCCCCCCCCAAAACTTGTTTTGGTCCGCGGGGTTTGGAGGGGTAGAAAAAAACGAGTGGGTGCCAATAATGCGGATTCTGGGGGTCTTGGGGGGGGGGGGTTAGCTGTCAGGGTCTGTTGTGCTTGGTCTCGAAGGGTTCTGCTTGCTCTCTGCAGGGCCCGACTTGTTCTGTTTGTTGGTCTGTTGTCCTGCTCTGCTGCCATGGACCGTCGCTCTGTGGCCTCTTGGCTCTGTCTGGTTATTTGTTCTGGCTGTGCGTCCGGGTGGGGAGGGGGGGGGGGTTAAAAATTCGAATCTGAGGAAATGGAGATCTCCTCGGCCATGGCTGGTGCTGGGTCTGAGGCCCCCCCTGACCCGGCCACTGGGCTGAAATTCCTTCTCCCTCAACCCCACCCCCAAGTCTGAACCCCCCCAGAAAGATCTGAGGCCTCTCTGAATTCCTTGCTCCCTGGTGGGGATGGATCTGGTGCCGCCCCTGGTGTCGTCTCTTGGCACCAAGATTCTGCTTTCCCGCCCCTCTGTAACCTCTCCTCCTTAATTAATTCAGGGTGTTCTGGGTTTGGGGTTTAGGGTTTCCACCCGGAGGCTGCCGGCACGGGCTCTGGTGCCCCTGGTGCCCCTGGGGCTGACTCTGGTGTCTCTTGGCACCAATTTTCGCTTTAGGGTTTAGGGGTTAATTAGGGTTTAGGGTTTAGGGGTTTCTGCCTGGAGGCTGCTGGGCCTGGTGGCAATGGCTCTGGCCCGGGCACTGGCTCTGGCCATGCTCTGGTTTTTTGGCGGCAACGTTTTCCTTTCCCCCCTCTGCAAACCTCCCCTCTAAATTAATTAGGCCTCTGGTCCACCCAAGGCACCGCAAGGCCCCCACGGTTCTGGTGGCTTGGATGAAGTTCTGCCATCTGGCCCTTTTCTGCAGAGGTGTAATCTGTGGGCTTGGGCTCTGTGGTTTAATCAGGGTTTAGGGTTGGGGTTGGAAGAATTAGGGTTTAGGGTTGGGGTTTAATAAGGGCCAGTTAGGGTTTAGGGTTCTCGGATCTGAGGGGCCTCTGCCGGCTGGATCTGGGAAGCATTACACTGCCAGGGTGCAGTTTCTTGGCACCCACCAGTAATTAGCCTTTTCTGTAATTAATGAATGTATTTAATATATGGTTTAATTAGGGTTTGGGGATTTAGGGTTTAGTGTAGCATGAAGACCCTGCTGAGGGCTCTGGCGCACGAGCTCTGGATCTATGACACTGGCCGGGACGGGCGCGGATGGGTGCACTCCGCACCCTGTCTTTAAGTACTGTTTTTTCTCTAAATGAAACCTTACTGAAACCTTAAACCCATATTAATGAAACCCTAAGCCCTAAACCCATAAGGCTGGGTACAGCCGGCGGTCGGTGCTCTCGAGCAGAATCCGTGGGGAAATGGAACGTTTCCTTCTCTGCGGCGGTGCCTCGCCCATTTTTGTATTTGGGGTTTAGGGTTTAGTTTGGGTTTAGGGGTTAGGGTTTAGGGTTTAGGGTTAGGGTTGAGTGATGGCGTCCCTGGAGGCAATCTGCGCATGTGGGAGCACATCTGTCACTGGACAGCATGGCGGGGTTCTGCTGTGGTTAAGTTTGGGCTTAACTAGGGTTTACAGTGAAGGGTTTGGTAGTTGAATCCGAGGCTATCTGGCCCTGTTTGTCTGCCAGAATGAGCTGCTGTACTCTGGCGTCCAGGAGGACCTATAGAATCCCTAAGTGTCCCTAAATAACTAGGGTTTAGGTTTAATAGGGTTGAGGGTTTAGGGTTTAGGGTTTGGGTTCTTTTCCTGAATCTCGACCCTGGAGGATCTGCCGATGGACATGCTGCAGCGCATCAACGACAACTGCCGGTGGGCCTACAATCTGCTTCTGGGATTCTCAACAGTCTAGTGTATCTTAGGGTTTAGTTAATCAGGGTTGAGGGGTTGATGAGGGTTTCGGGTTTAATTAGGGTTTAACTAGGGTTCGCCATCTGAGGTCTGATGTGTTTCTGGCTCGCAATGCCCTGAACTCTGGCCAGGAGGTGGGTGATTGGACCCTCTGGCTCCAGAGCTGTTTCTTGTCTGGTAATGGTCTCTTTTTGCCTTTCTAAACAAGGGTTTTATGCAAGACCCCAATTCAACCCTGAACCCTAATAAAACTCGAATTAAGCCCTAATTAATTAATGAAGCCCTAAACCCTAAACCCTACACCCTAAACCCTCATCCTAGGCTTGGTCGACATGAAGCAACATCAGACGTATTTGCGTGACCTGGCGGCCTTTAACCAAAGGAGCTGGGCCAACCTTGTCGACCAGGCCTGGGATTGAGGGCTCAGGGCTTTGGAGTGTTTGGGGTTTAATTAGGGTTTAGGGTTTAGTTAATTTGGGTTTATTGGGTAGTATTGTGAGCCCCTTTTCAGGTCTGGTGGCCTGACGCCTACATGCGCCCCCAGCTGCCAGCTCTGGGCTCCTCTGCTGCCCCCTCTGGCTGAGGCCCTTTCAAGTTTTGGGTTTGGGGTTTAAACCCCCTAACTAAACCCTAAACTCTAAACCCTAAACCCCACTGCTAAACCCTGAGTTTCGCTCACTTTGATTCCAGCTGCCATGAACTTCGCTTCATCGTTTTCCAGGCTTACAGGGAAAGGGCTTTCGCTAGCGTGAGAAAAAGCTTGAGTCAAGAGCTTCGCAAGGCAGGGTTTGTGTTAGATCCAGGCTCCTGCTAGCCTAATCGTAAGGCTACGATCGCATTGGTAGCGCTGCTAGGTGGCACGCACCTGCCTTGATGGCGACACATGGTTTCTTCGATGATGATCTGTATGACTTTGGAGCTGCAGCTCACGAGGACCCTGATGGCGCCGACAGCGCTGAGCTGAGCGACAGGAACCCTGGCTCCGTTGAGTTGGGGGATGATGGCGCCGGCTCACGGTTGGAAAGTGCGAATGGATCGGCTTCGTCGTCTACTACCCGAAGGCGTCGGCGTGGGCAGCGCGGCGGCAAAGGGGGCTTGGGCGATGCTGGTCCGGAGAAGAAGTGGAGGTCGGGGGCTATCCCCACGGCCCCGGCTTTTGATGGAGATGTGGAGGCAAACCCGTATTGTCTCCGGCTTTATCGTCGCAAGTTGATGAGATGGGTTAGACTGACCAAGGAGTACCTCCCCGCCAGCGAGCAGGCGCTCAGGGCCTTGGAGCAGTTGCGTGGCGATGCTGAGCTTGAGTTCGAGGAGATCGACGACTCCCGGTTCGACCACCCGGACGGCATCAGCAGACTGCTTCAGGACCTGGAAGTCTCTTTTGGGGAAAGAGAACTGTTTCGGCAAGGAGGTGTGATCCGCGAGTTCGAGTCGATTGGCCGGATGCAGGGCGAGTCGATCACGGCGTATATCCGCCGGTTCAGACTGCTGGAGCGGAAACTCGCGGAGAACAAGGTTCCCGTCTACCCCGAAGCAGCAAGAGTGGTGAAGTTGCTGGATGGGCTGAGGTTGGACGAGAAAGCTACGTCTACGGTGTTGCTCGCGGCCGGGAACAAGTACGACATGAAGGCGGTCTTGGAGGCCCTGAGGATCCAGTATCCTCCAGGGATGAGCGTGACGGGAGTTCCGAAGGGATTGGCAACCCTGGCGATAAGGACTAGCCGCTCTACATCCTCGAGGGCCTCCTCGTTCAAGTCGAGCTCTACCGCCACCTCGTCCCGTCGAAGTCGGGCTTCCAAGGGTTCTCGCTGGACGCAGTGGCAGACTGGTTGGGAGGACGCCTTGCCGGAAGAGCCGGCCGTGGACATCGACTTCGAGGAGGACGAGCCCGAGAATTACCTGACCAACGAGATTGACTACGTGGAAGAGCCCAATGAGGAGCCCGAGGTCCTGGATGAGGCTGAAGAGGAGCTCGTTCCGGAGTACCCCGACTACCAGGAGGCGGACGAGAGCTTTGAGCCCGAGCCCTCCAAGGACATGAATGCCCTCCTGGCGGCAGCCGAAGCCTTGACAGTGACGTCCAAGCGGCTCGCAAGTTTGGTGCAGGCCCGAGGCTACTATCATGTCGATGGCAAGAGCAAGGGCAAGTCCAAGTCTGCTGGCGCCGAGAAGAAGGGCAAAGGGAAAGGGGGACACATGGGAGCGAAATCTGGTGGCAAGAGTGGCAAAGGCACGCGCAAGGGCATGGGCAAGCAGGGCGGCAAAGGCTCTGGAGACAAGCAGGCCCGTTTGCGTGGCTCCTTGTGTTTGGGCTGCGGGGCGGCCGACCACTGGGTGAGAGATTGCCCGCACATGTCCAGCTACCAGGCCCAATTAGCATCCGCTGACCTCGAGCTCGATCCCGAGGGTAGCCCAGTTCACTGCTGGATGACCTCGGCAAGCTTGGAGCTACCAGCGCACTCCCGAGAAAATTGTCAGGCCGAGCCAGTATATCATGTTCCTAGACCTCCCTCCATCATGTTGAGTACGTGCATGGACGCTTCGTATCTGATAGCAGACACAGGGTGCCAGCGTCAGGTTGCAGGGGTCAAGTGGCATGAGCAAAGGGTCCACGAGATCCTTCCACTACAGCGAGAGTCGCATGCAGAGGTGTGCAAGTTCTCTTTTGGTCCTGCGGACGGACTGCCAAGCCTTGGGAGGCACCTTTATCCGGCGGGCATTGCGGGTGAGTTGGTGGCTTTGGGGATCAGCGAAATCGATTCTGCAGCTCCAGGGCTCCTCTCACGTCCCACCATGGAGGCTTTGGGTGCGGTACCTGACCTGTTGGAGGGCAAGGTGTTTTTCCGGGCTTTGGGGGGAAGATCTACACGCCTGTATTTGAGTCCATGTCGGCATTTGGCATTGAAGATCGATGAGTGGCCAGAGCATTCCGTTGACTGGACCAACATGTTGGAACAAGTCACTTGCAGTGCACATGGCCCACCTGACGTGTATCACAAGAACATGTTTCCGCCGGAGCGTGTGAGGCTTGAAACCCTTCGAAATTCGATAGCATCACGGCCACCCCCGAATGCCCCCGCAGAGCCGACATCCCTTATGGTTGGTACGGTGGCAACTTGTGATGCTGCATCTCCAGGAGCTGGTCCACACCACGCAGCAGGCAGTGCTGTACTACTCCGCGGCCTCGTTGAAGCCCAGGCTGAAGGACAAGATCCTGGAGATGTTCATGGAGCCCTGCACGGCAGTCACGATGATGACAACGCAGGCGGCTATGGCGGCAGCGGCGCACTTGCAGCTGAACAAGTACCCCAAGGAACCCGACAAGTGCAGCCACCCCCAGGGCACTCGCAACTACTCGGCTGCCGGGACGAGGATCCAGATCTGCGACGTGTGCGGTTCCCGGTGGGTGATCATGGCCAACGGCAGCACCGTGGAAGCCACTCCGAAGGCCAATCCCAATGCGAGGACGCCACTGGACCTGAGCGACGCAGCCAAGCAGCGGATCAAGGACAGCAAGAAGGCCACCGCCAAAGGCAAAGCCGCCGGAGGTACCCCGTCATCGGGAAGCTTGTCACAACCATCCTCGGGGTACTCGCGGGTGTCATCGCTGGTCAGTCCTCGTCTTCAAGCACCGCCGCCACCGCGCCCGAGCACAGCTATGCAACAGGCAGCTGGTCAGACTCGGAGTCAGATACCGAAGGCCTACCGCATGAATGGGCAGCCACCTCGGAGATCGCTGTATCCTCAAGACCAGCGCTCCATGATCTCAGAGCCGGACACACAGGACGACGGACTCTCGGACAACATGAGCGTGATAAACCCCTCCGAGGGAGAAGGCTCGAGACAACGTGTGAGACAGTGGCAGCGCGGCAACCTGGGCAATCGAGGACGAGGCCTCCCACTCCGACAAGCGCAGCCACCTCCTCTCGAGAACCCCAACGACCAGGACTGGACCGGGGCCGACGAGGCTCAGGAAGCGGCGGAGTTCCACGATTACATGATGGCCAGGAACCACGATCCGAACTACTGGGAGGAGATGATGGACCGAGACGATTGGGACGAGGATATGAGGGCACGGATGCCGCCGGACATGCGCGACCTCTGAGTGCTGAGCCTTTGATGGGATCTGTGGACACGCCATTGACAGCAGAGGACCGAGAGTGCTTCATGATCAAGCGAGGCACTAGGAAGAGACTGTCCGGAATGGCTCGTTCCCTTTGGCAAGACTGGCAAGCCGAGGCCAAGGTCTACATGAGCCGGGCCCAAAAGTGTCGCAGCCTTCGGAAGCACAAGGTGGACGTGGTGGAAGTTTATGGTGGACATGCTGCCATCACGGAGTTTGCGATAAAGGAAGGCCTACGAGTGTTACAACCGGTGGACCAGATCTATGGCCATGCCCTGAACTCCATGGCAGACTTCGACTGGCTGGAGAAGACTTTGGAACGCTGGCTACCTGTGCTGGTGATCTGGGAAATTTCGTGCACGGCATGGACAAGTCTACAGCACCTCTCCCGCTCCGCCGAAGAAATCGAGGCCCTACGAGCACTACAACGTCGTGCCATTAACTCCATGGTTCGCATCATCATGAAGTTGCAGAGCATGGGGGTACACTTCTTGATTGAGAACCCCTACGGCACGGCCTTTTGGAAACAACCCGGGCTTCTGAAGTTGCAGGCCCTCCCCGGGGTGGAGTTCCGAATGGGTTGCATGTGCGAGTTCGGTCTTTGTGATGGGCATGGTCAGCTACTCAAGAAGCCTACTGGCTGGCTGAGTGACATGCCCGAGCTGCTGGATGAGTTGGCAAGGCCTTGTTCCGGCCAACATGAACATGGACAGTGTATAGGGGGCAATGTCGCGAAGAAGGCGCAGGTCTACACCAACCAACTGGCCCGTGCTTGCATACGAGGCTTGAAACAAGGCCTTCGACGACTTGGTGATGAGAGATGGAACAGGTACTACCTCACGGAGAGCGACCTCCCTGGTGAACCCTTGGTTTGGACCGGCGACATCAACCACGGAGACACGCCGGAGGACTTTGAGCTTCATTGGGAGCCGCCAGGCGAGCTGAAGGTCGACATCTACTTCTTGGATATTAACCGCCACACCGAATCGTGGCAACCTCTTCTGAGAGAAGCCGAAGGCCGCTTCAAGAACATCACCACGAACACCATTACCTTGAAGCCGTCCCCGTTCTTTGAGAAGGTCAAGTCTTTGGTGCCCTGGACACTGCAACGCGTGCAGCTGAGCAAGGCACCAAAACAGCGACGACTACCTGATGAGGTGTTGATGAACGGGGCAAAACATCGTGGCGCCGCCTTGTGGTGCAATGACGATGAGATTCGCCTTGAGGCCGAGGAGATCAAGGCAATTGCGCATGCGCCGGCAAGCAAATATGAGAAGCCCGTGCGCCTGGCGATCTACTTCTACGGCGTTGCTCCTGCGAGCAGCATGAATCCTTCTGAAGATGCTCAACCTGAGCCTCCTCGACAGCCAGCACAACCCGAGCAGGTTGACGTCTCCGATCGCATGCTGCCTCACCAGCCGGGATACCGTGACATTTCCTTTCCGGGCATTGACGTGCCTATGTGGATTCAACAAGTACTACGACGTCTACATTGCAACTTGGGGCATCCACCGAAGGAAGTGCTGGTGAGACAACTGGCTCTGGCCAATGCATCCGAGACCGCCATCAAGGGAGCACGACACCTTCGCTGTGAAGTTTGTTTGAGAGTGGCGCCACCACATCAACCCAGGGCAGTCAAGGCATACCAGCCCAAGCGGTTCAACGACCGCGTGTGTCTGGATATTGTCTACATCAAGGACATCTGCAAAAAGGTCCACATGTATCTGAACTGTGTGGACGACGCTACAAGTTACCAGGCCGCCTCTTACATCCACGACAGGACCGAGGATACCATCATCCGGAGCCTCCTCAATGGTTGGTTCACCTTCTTTGGCCCCCCGGATGAGATGGCAGTGGATGCGGAGGGCGCCTTCCGGGGCATGAAGTTTGAGATGCTTCACGCTCAGATGAATGTGGACATCCGGTGCATTCCTCCGGATGCACACTGGCAACTGGGAAAAGCAGAAAGACATGGGCAGGCCCTGAAGTGGAACGCGGCCCGCTTGGTGTCTCAGTTCGCAGCCAGCACAGTCCCTGAGGTGAACGTTTGTGTGGCCATGGCGACGCACGCCAAGAACACCTTGATCCGTCGATCCGGCTCCTCTCCTTGCCAGTGGGTGTTCGGTCGTAATCCCAAGCTGCCCGCTTCTCTCTTGAGCGATGGAGGCAGCATTGAGAGCTGCCAGCTTACTGCGGACAGTGATCGTCTGCAACAGATTGAAGCTGTACGTACCCAGGCCATGATGAACCACCACCAGTTTGAGGCCCACGCTGCCCTTCGAGCAGCCTTGCTGCGCAAGAGCCGCCCCTACCGCGGCCAGCTGTTTCCTGGACAGAAGGTAGCGTACTACCGCCTTCGCTCAACGCAGTTCGACGGCGAGGGGTCTACTGAGGGCTACAGGCAGGGCATCGTGTTGGCGCTCGACCGCAACCCCAGTTCCAATGTGGCCGTGAATGTGTGGGTGCGCAACAGCCGTGGCCGTGTGGTTCAGTGCGCGCCTGAACAGGTGCGGCCCGTATTTGGTGAGCAGGAATGGTGGACTCCCGATGGGCAGGACTTGGAGGTCTTGAAAAATGTTGACCAGGACTTGCAGTCGCACCCTCGGGCTTTTCGTGCTGCTGGTGCTGGTGACCGTCCTCGTCCTGCGGCTGATGCGGCCGTTTTTCGTGCTTTATCTCCTGCTCCTGGTGCTCGCGAGGCGTTTCCTGTGCTGGATGCTGATGGCCGGCCCACTGAGCCCGCCATGTTGAACCCAGTGCTGATGCTGCCGCCTACGCCGGCACCTTCCACGCCTGCTACGAGACGGCCAAGAGAGCGCTCCAGGTCGGTTACTCGTATGAATCAACGACCGTTGCCTATGGTGGCCGTTCCCGAGAATGCTCCGCTTCAAGAAGGCTCTGCGCGAGCTTCGCTTCGAGGTGAGCCTGGCACTCCTCCAGATCGTGCACATCTACCCGATCAACGTTCTGAACCAGGTCCTTCTAGTGAGCCTGGCACTCATCCAGATCGTGCACATCTACCCGATCAACGTTCCGAACCTGGTCCTTCACATGTGGCGCCTATGGATCAACGCAATGTCTCTTCTTCTTCTGGTCCATCGGCGTCCCCTACCGTAACGGGGGAGTTATCCCGACAAGTGTCTTCTCGGAGGGCATCGGGCAGTGGCCTTACACAAGAACTGGAACGTCTCATGACCGAGGAGTATCCTGAGCTTCGAGGTCTAAAACGACAACCTGACATCCCGACAAGCGAGTTGGACGCTCACGTGAAGTCTGCGCCAGCTCAGCCTACTGGACCTTTCCCTGAGGGCCAGGAAATTCTCCTGACGTTCTGTCAACAATGCGGTGATCAACATCGTGTGAGGCAGGGCGATTTGAGCGTATGCGCTCGTTGTAGCTGCGGCGACTTTGTGGACTCTCCGAAGGATGTGGTCTCTTGGTACGACGAGATACAGGAAAGGGAGGCCTTCGACAAGATTTTGGTGCCCGGAGGTAAGACGAAGGGCCCTGGAGGAGCTCCCGAGCACAGTTCTCCTGACTCACTGCCTCAGACCCTGAGTTCCGAGGACGCCGGCTATGACAACCTTTTCTTTGAGCAGTTTTCCTGTAAGCCTGTGAGAAATTCTATGCATCGACTTGAGGTTCTACGACGACATGGTCGCGAGGCAACTTTGCGAAGCGGTTGGGACGGCAGCCCTGAGGAGGTGCAAGCAGCCTACGTGCAAAATGCCTTCTTGACCGCGGCACACCACTTCGGCGACCATGACCAAGATGAGACAACCAGCGCAAAGAAGGAAGGCGAGACGACAGCATGGACTACCACGACAAGCTCCACTCCTACTACCTTGACAGAGCGTCTGGCGTCGCAGATGCTCGAGCAGGGTGACTTCAGCCACCAAACATGCCATCAGATCTTGGACACCTTGGAGTTCAAGAGGAAGACTACAACGACACGCCAAGCCATGGAAACAGAGGCCGAGGATTCCGGAACCCTGTTGCTGGGACTTTATAGCTACGGTGCCAATGTGGGCCTCACCAATGCCACGGCACACTATCGCAAGCTGGCCCAGTATCTGGCGGCATACTTGAAGAACCACGGCATGTCTTCCGGTGTCACCAGCATCCAGGTGACGAAGAATGCGGTGGCTAAGCCGCACAAGGATGTGAACAACGCGGCCGGATCCTTGAACTGGCATGTCTCCTTGGGCAACTACAGGGGTGGCAAGCTGTGGGTGGAAAGCAGCTCACAAAAGTTCCCCGATGACCCTCGAACAGTCCAGCGCGACATCGAAGGCCAACTTCGAAGAGGCTATTTGACCGATGTGCGCCAGAGGCTCATCTCGTTCGACCCTAAGTGCTTCCACTTCACGGAGGATTACCAGGGCGAGAGGTATGGCATCACCGCTTTCCACACGCGGCTGTATGCTCAGGCGACGAGCGGTGACCGAGCCCGTTTGGCTCAATTGGGCTTCCCACGGCCCATTCCGAATCGGACCTGGTTGAGCGAGCCCGCCTTCTCAGCCTACCCTGTCAAGCTGCAGTCCGAGGCCGCAGATGAAGGGGAGACGCTTCTGGCCATGGAGTCCAGTGCGGAGGAGGGCGACGACGGCACGTTCGAGACCAGAAGAGCGGCCAAGCAGGCCCGAAAGAAGGAAGTTCCTTGGCAAAGCATGACCCCTGAGGAGGTGCCAGAGTTTGTCCGAGCACTTCAGCAGGAGTGGAGCGAGTGGGAACGCTGGTCAAGCTGCAAGCCGGTGTGGGTGCGAGCTGGCGAAGTGGCGGCGCACTTGATCCTGCGCAGCCGTGTGTGTTATCGATGGAAGCCTACGGCAGATGGGGGCCAAAAACCAAAGGCTCGCATTGTGGTGCTTGGTTTCCGTGATCCTCACCTTCCCTGGCTGGCGAGAGATGCACCCGTGTTATCCCGAACGGCATTTCACCTGATACTGCAGTGGGCCGCATCACACCAGGTGAAGCTTCACAACGCCGACTGCAAGAGCGCTTTTCTCCAGGGAGATCCGGATGTGGAACGACCGGAGAACATTTACATGCGCCCCCCACAGGATCCAGTGGCACAAGAAGCCAACCCAGATTGGCAGGACAGCCGCTTGCTGTACCGGCTAACAGCCCCCGTGTACGGGCAGGCCAACGCTCCACGACAGTGGTATGAACACGTGGTTCGCATACTACAGGCCTTGGGCTGGGTGCGCCACACCTTGGATCCATGTCTCTTCCTGTGGAAACAGGATGGCTACGTGGTAGCCGTGCTGGGGATCCATGTCGACGACCTGATCGCCGGGGCCTTGAAGGACCACGAGAAGACGCTGAAGGATGTGGAGAAGTCGTTCACTTGGGGGTCTCCATGGACAGACAGTGACTTCGTCTTCGTGGGCAGGCATATTAAGCAGTGGCCCGACGGAAGCATCACGGTTGACCAGGCCAGCTATGTGAGCGAAGTGCCGACGACCAAGGTAAAGCTGGAGGATGACGTGAAGCTTAGTGGGCATCCGGCCTTGGTGACCGAGTTTCGGTCGGGCATAGGGTCCTTGCAGTGGCTGGCCGGGACCACCCGCGGGGACATCGCTGCTGATGTGAGTTTGATTCAGCGCTCGCCGGCTGACTTGTGCGTCAGCGATCTCAAGGAGGTCAATGGCGTGCTTCGCTATGTGCGTGCAACGTCGGACGCCTACTTCAAGGTTGTGCCGCTCAGCTTCGCAGACCTCATCCTGGTGTGCTACGGAGATTCTGGTTGGGCTAACGCCCCTGGGCACAAGTCACAGGGAGGACTGGTGATCACGGCTACAACAAAAAAGGCCCTGACGCAAAGGCAGGACGCCTCACTTCTTGAGTGGAAAAGTTATCGCCACCAGCGTGTGCTTCGCTCGACCTTGGCGGCGGAGGCGGCTTCCCTGGACAAGGCCTACGACCATGGCCACTACATGGCGATGATGCTGAGTGAGATGATGGATGGCCGCTTCCTGGCCACAATGAATGAGAGGCCGCTGTGTGAAGTTGTCCCCGTCACGGACGCCAGGTCCCTTTGGGACTCCATCCACCGCCTCAGCACGAACTTTCAGGAGAAGCGGGTGGAGATCGACGTGGCAGCCCTGAGGCAGACATGTAAGGGCCTTCGCTGGGTTCCCACCGAGAGCCAAATGGCCGATGCGCTGACCAAAAGGTCAAAGTCCCTTCGGGACCAGTTTCGCCAGTGGATGGCGTCTCCCTTTGTAACGTTGGTTGATAGCAAGCAGCCCTCTGACGTTGTTACAGGGGCCGACGCCAACAAGGCTTGGCGCAACTAGGAGAAGTTCAGGCAGATTAAATATAGAGGAGTGCTAAACCCTGAGTTTCGCTCACTTTGATTCCAGCTGCCATGAACTTCGCTTCATCGTTTTCCAGGCTTACAGGGAAAGGGCTTTCGCTAGCGTGAGAAAAAGCTTGAGTCAAGAGCTTCGCAAGGCAGGGTTTGTGTTAGATCCAGGCTCCTGCTAGCCTAATCGTAAGGCTACGATCGCACCCACAACCTAAATCTGGTTTTGTTCGGGACCCTGACAGGTGTCTGCGACTCTGGCTGGTGCATCTCTGAACCCTGCTCCGGTCGAGGCGACAAGGGTTTAATTAGGGTTTAGGGTTTAGGGTTTAGGGTTTAACCCGATGGGTGAACCTTTCTGAATCCTCCTCCCTAACTAAACACCAATGCAACCCTAAACCCTAAACCAACTTTCCCTAAACCCTTTTAATCCCTCCTTCTGGGCAGTATCTGCTGAGATCTGGTATCTGATCTCTCTTTTATCTGGCCGAGGCCAGATCTGGAAGGGGGGGGGGGAGGGGGGTGGTTTAGGGTTTAGGGTTGAGGGTTAGGGTTGAGGGTTTAGGGTTTAGGGTTGAGGGTTTAAGTCGGGTTGAGGGTTTAGGGTTGAGGGTTTAGGGTTGAGGTTTTAGGGTTTAATTAGGGTTGAGGGTTTAGTGCACCAGGGTTGAGGGTTTAGTTATAGGGTTCAGGGTTTAGGGTTTAATTAGGCTTGAGGCCTAAACCCTAAACCCTAAACCCTAAACCCTAAACCCTAAACCCTGAACCCTCAACCCTAAACCCCCAACCCTAATTACGGTTGAGGGTTTAATTAGGGTTCAGGGTTGAGGGTTTAGGGTTGAGGGTTTAGAGTTTAATGAGGCTTGAGGGTTGAACCCTAAACCCTAAACCCTAAACCCTAAACCCTAAACTCTAAACCCTAAACCCTAAACCCTAAACCCTAAACCCTAAACCCTAAACCCCCAACCCTAATTACGGTTGAGGGTTTAATTAGGGTTGAGGGTTTAGGGTTGAGGGTTGAGGGTTAATTAAGGGTTGAGGGTTTAAACCCTAATTAAACCCTAAACCCTAAACCCTAAACCCTAAACCCTCAACCCTAAACCCCCAACCCTAATTACGGTTGAGGGTTTAATTAGGGTTCAGGGTTGAGGGTTTAGGGTTGAGGGTTTAGAGTTTAATGAGGCTTGAGGGTTGAACCCTAAACCCTAAACCCTAAACCCTAAAACCTAAACCCTAAACCCTAAACCCTAAACCCTAAACCCTAAACCCTAAACCCTAAACCCCCAACCCTAATTACGGTTGAGGGTTTAATTAGGGTTGAGGGTTGAGGGTTTAGGGTTGAGGGTTGAGGGTTAATTAAGGGTTGAGGGTTTAGGGTTATGTGTATATATATATATATGTTTATATATATATATATATATATATGTATGTATATATATACACATGTATATTCATATAATTATATAATTTCTCACCATATATAAATATGTGTATAAATATAAATACAAATATAAATATAAATATATATATATATATATATATATACAATTACAAGGAGGGTTTAGATGATATGTTTTTATTTTTTCTGTGTATATACACATATATATATATATGTATCTATACATATATACATATATGATTATATAGAATTACATATGTATAAACACGAACACAGTCCCTCACCCCCCCCCCCCCCCCCCCTATGCGGCTCAACCCTAAACCCTTAACCCTTAACCCTAAACCCTAATTAATATGGGCAGGCTCTGCTGAGATGCCACGCTCTGATCTGAAGAGCAGACTCTGCTGGCTCCCGCTGTTAGGGTTTAATGGTTTAATTAGGGTTTAGGGTTTAGGGTTCAGGGTTCCAGGGTTCAGGGTTCAGGACTTAGGGTTTAACTTGTTTAGGGTTTAGTTAGCTGGGGTTTCTGTTTTGTTTTGTTTCTGTTTTGGAGCGGTCGAGCTCAGCTTTTTTAAGAAAGCAAGCACGCGGTGTCTGAAGGTGCCCAAAACAATCTGGTTGCAAGTGCAGCTGCATGTCTGTCGCACACATGTCTGGATTGAACATTTGGTTGACAAATTTATTGTTGTCTGCACATGAAAAGTTTCGGCTGGCCTTAATTACTGTTCTTAAAATTTTGGGACTCTGAGAGAGCCATGGGCAAAGTTCTGAAGAAACCTTCTGCGAACAAGTCGACAAAGAAGCCTGCTGCGAAGCTTCCCCCGTCTCCTCTTCCTGAGTCTGAGGCGTCTGGTCTGTGCACGCCAGACAAGAAGCCTGCCCCGCAGACCCCCAAGGCCCCTCTGAAGGAGAAACCTGACGACCTGGGGTACTCTCAACAGTCTCCGGAGTCTGACGCAACCACTCTGCAGATGGAGGGCGTGAGCGAGGAGGCCCTCTTGAACGCCCCTGAGCCCTTTCTTGGGATCTGGGACAGTCTGTCCGAAGATCAGAAGGATCACCTGCGGAACTTGAACTCTGATCCGCTAGCAGAGTAGTTTAGTTGGCTTCTGTCCAAAGGATCTTGGCCAGTCGCAGGCTGATTCGGCTCACGGCTTGCGCTTAAAAAAACATTCTGCTTCGCTCCTTGCTTCGCTCGTGTCTGAGACAGTCCTGCTGCAGTTTGAGTTTGGAAGCTTGGTTGATTCTGTTTCGCTGATTTTTTGGCACAGAAGCTCTGTACTCTGAAGAGAGTCTAGCATGGCTGCGAATGCTGCGAGCTCTGCTGCCACCTACGCTGCTGTTCTGACTCTGAAGCGACGCTTCGGGTTCTGCGAAGAAGCTGCAGTCGAGATCTGTGCCTTTCTCGATCTGCCTGGCTGCGACAAGTGGTGGTGTCTGGCCACTGGTGAGCAATTCACCGATCTGGCTGACGGAGGCTCTGCTCGGAGCTGGACACTTTCTGGGTGGCTCTGCAGCAGACGAGATGTCTCTGTCGGATCTCGTCTGTGGCTGCCTTGGGCCTCTCGGGTCCATGTGATGTCTGCAGAAGACATCTCTGAGCTGGGCCACTCTGAGGCCCAGACCCCCACTTCTGAGCGTTCTTCTGTCTGCGAGGCGGACTCTGAGTGGGAAGACGTAGAGGGCTCTGAGTCTGAGACTTCGGTAGCTCTGTGAAGCAGCCAAGCAAAAGGTTTTGAATCTGAGACTTCTGTGGCTCTGTAAAGCAGCGAAGCAAAAGGTCGGAGGAGTCTGAGGGATGGAGTTTCTTGCCCCGTCTGTTGACTGCCTGGCTTCTGCAGATAAGGCACCTCTCTGCCACTCATGTTTTTGTTCTGCAGGCAGGCCATTTTGGCCACAAGACTGCTTGTCTGTAGGCAGCTAGATCTCGCAGCAATGGCTGTGGAGATTTCTTCTTCTGAAGATGAAATGGCTCAGCAGCCTGAGACCGCAAGGTCTGCTTTGGTTCTACCCTCTGCAAGCTCTGCTCTGGTACCAGCAGACCCAGCAGACAAGTCTGGAGGCAGCTTAGCTTCTCTGTGTGCTTCTTGCTTGAGAGATGAAGTTAAGGAAACCCTGCTCTCAGATTTCTGGCAATTTCCTGAATTCCAGGATCCGGAGGCTGAAGTCTTAAGCTTCAGGGGTTCTTGTCTTGAGACTTAGACCAGGGCCCGAAGGCTGAAGTCTTAAGCTTAAGGGACTCTTGTCTTGAGACTTAATTACAGGAAGCAATTTAAACTTAAGGCTTCTTGGTCCCCCCCCCCCCTCGTCGCCGAATTCATTATTGCCACCCTTTATTATTGTCATTTTCGAGGCCCGTAAGGGGTACCCTTGCCGGACTTGTTTTCGAGCTCCGGCGGATAAGGATTTTAGTAAGGAAACCGAGCTTTCAGACCTGTGCCGGTTTCCTGAATTCCAGGACCCGAAGGCTGAAGTCTTAAGCTTCAGGGACTCTTCTCTTCAGACTTAGACCAGGACCCGAAGGCTGAAGTCTTAAGCTTCAGGGACTCTTCTCTTCAGACTTAGACCAGGACCCGAAGGCTGAAGTCTTAAGCTTCAGGGACTCTTCTCTTCAGACTTAGACCAGGACCCGAAGGCTGAAGTCTTAAGCTTCAGGGACTCTTCTCTTCAGACTTAGACCAGGACCCGAAGGCTGAAGTCTTAAGCTTCAGGGACTTTTCTCTTCAGACTTAGACCAGGACCCGAAGGCTGAAGTCTTAAGCTTCAGGGACTTTTCTCTTCAGACTTAGACCAGGACCCGAAGGCTGAAGTCTTAAGCTTCAGGGACTCTTCTCTTCAGACTTAGACCAGGACCCGAAGGCTGAAGTCTTAAGCTTCAGGGACTGTTCTCTTCAGACTTAGACCAGGACCCGAAGGCTGAAGTCTTAAGCTTCAGCGACTCTTCTCTTCAGACTTAGACCAGGACCCGAAGGCTGAAGTCTTAAGCTTCAGGGACTTTTCTCTTCAGACTTAGACTAGGACCCGAAGGCTGAAGTCTTAAGCTTCAGGGACTGTTCTCTTCAGACTTAGACCAGGACCCGAAGGCTGAAGGATCGTCTGAGGGACTCGATCTTGTCTTTTTCTTCTTCTTGATATTATTCTCAGCACTCTGCCAAGTTCTTCTGCTGGCAGGCTTCTGGCCGCGGACTGAGAAGCAGACGACCTTGCTGCGGTTCTGCAAGCCTGACCACCCGGAAGCTTACCTGCCGGCTCTGCGAGACAAGCCCGCTCCGCAAGCCAAAGGCAGGCCTATGTCTGAGGCCATGAAGCAGGTTCTCAGAGAAGTTGCATCTGAGCAAGCTGCTAAAGCAGCCTCTGAGAAGCGGCGCCTCGAGCAATCTGGTGTTCGCCAAGAGTTTGAGAGGAGGCGGAGGCAGGGCGGCAGGCCCAAGGGCCGCAGGGCCAGCCGTAGCTCTGAGATGCCTCTGGCGGTCCAGCATGCTCTGAGACGCTGAAGATGAAGAAAGCGCTGCCTGACTTCAGCTCTGAGCACACCTTGCTGACAGCGATGAGCAAGAAGATGGGCTTGTCTTTGATGAAGGTCCGGAAGATCT